ATCCTGCCTATTCTGCTGTATTAGGATCTATATATGTGTCTCTCCTCTCTTTCTGTCTTAGCGTAGGCTTTCATCATCTCTTGCCTGGATTATTATTGCACCACCTCCATATTCGTTTTCCAACCTCCAATGTCACCTCCCATCTCTCATCCAGAATTGGAGTGATAGTCCTAAACTCAAATTTGACCATTTTATTCCCTTAATTACAACCCTTCATTCATTCAAATGCACGCTTTTGTTTCTTCCTCCATACCCTTTGCTTGGAACCCTTACCCTCACCTCATCTTATTGGTTTGTCAAGCTGCTAGTCTTCTTCTAGGAGCCAGTTCAGCAATGTCCCCTCTGTGAAACCTTTCCTGATCACTTGATGAGAGCCCTTCCTGTTTTCCTTTGGCCCTGCTTGACGTCGTTCTTACTTCGTGCAGTGCTAATTACCCATAGTACCTCAAGCCATCTTGACTGTGTGTATTCCTGAATCAAGAATCTGTGTTATCAAGCCCAACACAACATCTGGCAGAAAGTAAGTTCTTAATGTTTGTTGACTGAAGAGAGGAGTAGTAAAGGAGAAGGTGGAGGCCTGAGCAAATCTGATCCTCCCTTTGCAATATAGGAAAAGAGAAGAGGGTGTTCCTCTTCCCAAAACCTGAGAAGTACTACTGGGTCATAAGCCATATGCACCCACTAGGAGAACCTACTCTTAAACTGAAAAGCCATCTGACCACAAGAAGGTAACTTGAGGCTCCCAGACCACAGGATACACATGGGTCAGTTTCCCTTAGTGGCTTCCTGCTCTCTTTACAATGTTCTCTCTGCCACTTTCAGGAGCTACTGTGGCCTACTCACTGAATTACTATCTTGACCATCCCCATCCATGAGTGTCAAGAGGCAAGAGGAGCCTCAGATATCTTTCCAAACTCATGTGGTCAAAGGATCAAAACCTCAGCATTCCTCATCTTCTCTCCAAAGGCATATTATAAAAATATACTTTCCTCTTCTATTATTTCTCCCTCTTTCTCCAGCTGCCTGCCTCTGTTTCTCTATAGCTATTTGAGCCCATCCTTCTCCTGGCCACCTACTGGAGAAATCTCATTTGTCTCTATCCTTAAAGTATCTGGAAATGAGCATATGCTCATGAACTAAACAAATGAGTTAATGGATAATATGGGTTTCAAGGAGGACAGACTAGCATTTCTTTCAGGCGTACAGAGACCCCATATGGTGCCATATGCTTTTTTTTTTTTTTTTTTTTTTTTTTTTTTTTTTTTTTTTTTTTTTTTGGTTGTCTCTTAGGTCTTTGAGAGCACAGGAGGTAAGATTTTGCCTGACATAATTAAGTCCTTAAAAGCTCCATTTTTTTCCCCTCAACAAATCTCTTCCTTTCCAATTGAAGCCAAAGGGAAGACATAGACTATGAGTCTGCACTAACCAGCCCAACAGACAAATAGGGCCAGAGAGACTATCCCTGCTACTCACACAAACAACAGCCCAAATCCAACCCAACTGCTCAACAGAGAGCCTTGGATATCTGGGAGCTTCCCTAGATCAGTGAGGTGCATGTGTGGCTTGGACACAAAACTGAGTACAAGGTGTACTTATCCCTGAAAGTTTCTTTGGAAAATCTGTGTTCAGAAACACTCAGGATTGTCTGGGAGATGAGCACAGCAGGAGTGGAGCACAGGGACTAGGTCTCCAAGAGCAATTCTCATTCCTTTCATAAGGAGACAGGAAGAGACCCTGGGGAGCTCTCAGTGATAGGCCCAGGCCTGGTTCAGCTGCTGAGATGCAGCCAGGCCAATTAAATAATTGTGATGGGAAAAGAAAGGAAGCCATTCCTTTTAGGCAAACTCCCACCCCAGACAGGAGGCTCCACACAGCTGTGGCAACAGCAGCAGTAACAACAGGGCAGGGATCTCTTCCTCTTCTTCCCACTAGTTGGAACTAATGCTTAAATTAGCACCTTGGAAACACCCAGATCTGCTGGCTGTGCCTTCTCTCCCAGCTCCTGCCACTCTCTTAGACCTCCTTTTCAAGCCTGAAGTTCTCTTTCAAGTAAATAAAAAAAAAAAAAAAAAAAAAAGAAAAAGAAATAAAAATCTTCTTCCCTAGAAGAGCCTTTTAAGTAAGGAATGCCTTCTGGATTCTTTCCACCACTATGGGTGGTGAGGGAGGGTTATTTAAATGATGGAGTCCCTGTGATAGGCCTTTATCAGTACAGCTTGGTCCAGAAAAGAGCAGTGAAGCTAATACCAGCATTGCCTTGTTTCCATTAGGGCTAAAGGAGACAGCCCCTATTCTGACCTCAGAGGGGCAGGCCCACACTGAAGGAGTAAGCATGAACAATAAACTTCTGCCAAACTGTATCTATGTTGCTAACCACTGTGTCCCCAATACCTAGTATAAGATCTGGAACAGAGACGATACTACAGAAATATTTGGTGAATGAATTAGCTAAATCAGTGATATCAACTCCCTATGATATTCCTTGGAAGACAGAGTGAAGAGCTATTGCTTAAATTTTAAAGAGATAGTTTGTCTTCATTTCATAAATGAGAAAACTGAATCCAGAGGAGAGGAGAGACTTCCTAGAGGTCTCAATAAATAATAAATAGGTCACAGTTGAGTTCGATCCCGGGACCCTAGTTTTTATGATCTACTCAAATACCTCTAAAGAGCCACTTTGCTCTTCTCTTTTGTGGTATACTGTTTTGATTCCTTATGCCCTGCAATGAAGGCTCTTTCAGAAATGCTACACAAGAATCTGCTAGTCTCAATAATACACAGAGCATTTAAAGAGTTCTGGGGATCCTCTAGATTTCAACCTGGAAACAGAGGTCAAGAAGCAGAAATCTACAGGGCAATGTCTGTGCCCCTAAAGGGGGGGTTACTGAATTGCCACTCCCATCACTCTCATCAACCTCAACAAAGTATCCTCTTACAGAGGACTCCCTTAGCCTTCAAGAAAAGGGTCTGAGGGCAACCACAGCTTTTCTGATAAGTGCCTCCTTGCATAAGCACTTCTAATCCAGAGTCACACAGACCAGAGCATTTTAGGAGTCTTCTGGGGTCACTATTTACTTAAACTATCATTGGGAATTTCAGGCAATAACAAAGGTACCAAGGACAACTAAGAAAGCCTTGTGACCTCATTCCTTCCCCCCCTTTCCTTGGACAACTATTGACTACCTTCTCAGGAACCCCAGATGGGAGGCAAGAACCAACTCATTGCTTTCTTCTCATGACTAACTTGGACCTCCTTTCCCTCCTATTTCATCCATCATCCCTTTTGGTTCTCGATTAGATGCTTAGAACTGGAAGGGCCATCTAATTTGACAAGCCAGGTTGGTTGGAAAGATAATCCAGAAAAGAATGTCCTCTTAAACCAGCCTAAAGTTCTTCAAGTTCATGGGACGGACTTCTCACCAGGATTTTCTGGCCCCCAAATATTCCAATGATGGTATTAGCCTAGGAAAAAAAAGTCCATCAGCATCTCTCCCCAGTTTAATACTGTATACTTATGTAGAGCTTCTGTTTGGGCTTCTAGAACTAAGTAGTAACAAAAAGGGAAAAGGGCTCATTTCCTGCTAGGTGGCTCCTAATGATTCTCTCTACCATCCCCCAAAAGGTGTGGCTTAGAGTTGGTCATGGGTCCCTGACAAAGTCTGTCTGGTCTGCTGTAATGGGCAGGTTACTTACTCAGGAAGCTACAAAGCACATCTGTTAGCCAGGGGTCTAGGGGCCCAAATGTGGAACATATTCCTCACCTCCCCACCTAACATATAAGGAGGAGCCTTAGGGAGCCCCAGATCTTCAAGCTTTGGAGAGCTCTGCTAGGCTCCAGCATAGCTCAGAGAATAGGGCATCCACGACTTTCAGGTTCCTGGCCTACCCTGCCTCCTTCCAGCTCCCCCTCAGGCTCCAAGGAGGAAGGGAGAAGGAAAAGTGAACAGAGCGGGGCACTCCCTCCCTTCCCCCTCTCCTTATACCAGCTGGCTAGGCCGCTGCGGCGCCTCTCGCCCCACTGCCCACCGCCAGTCGTACAAGCCAGTCAGGTAATCCCCCCTGAGCGGTGGCCATAGGGCATGGTCTCCCCTAAGCTTGGCCTCGGTCGCCCGCGTCGCCCTCCCCCTTCCATCCCCTCCGCGCCGGCAGCGATGACATCATTCCTCCCAGACTCCCGGACCGCGGACAGGGAGCAGGATGGGCGCCCAGCAAAGACTCGAAGCACGTAGGCCGAGGATGCTGGGGGCTCTTTGAAAGGGTGGGCACTGGAGGCTCCGGCGCGACCCCGCCCCCTCTCCCGTCGATTCCAGAGCTCTCTCATCCGCGCCCCTGTTTCTCCACCTCGCCGCCGAGCTCTCTCCCCCTCGACTCCAGCTCTAGCACCCCCAGCCTAGACTGCCTGCGCTCTCCTCAGAAGAACGTAATTCAGGGGTCCTGCACCGACCCCCTGTACCCACCGGTCCTTGGCCCAGGCCTGAATTCCCATCCGTATCCAGCAAACTGGCAGGCATGCTCCCTCCTTCTCTGCAAGCCTACTCCCAGTCCCTTTTAGCCTAATTGCTCCCTGGCCCCCTCCCCCGCGCTGAGCATCACAGGCCTCTAAAGCTAAGCGGCTCCTCACCTCTCATCCCAGCCCCTGGGCCTGGCCGCGGCGGTGCCCTATGACAGTTTCCTTCATTTCTCATCAAGGGCCTCCACTAGCGGTGTGCACCATTGTGCCCCAAACATTCCACCCGACGGCCCTCCCCGTTGCTCCCTTGGCCTATCTCTGCTGACTATGCCCTAAGCCCTTACATGCCTTTTTGCTGTCACTCCGCTCATTCTCCTACGGTTTTCTAGTCCTACAAGTCCCCCTCCCCCGGCGATGCGATTTCAAGGTTCCCTTTGCTCCATCCCAAGGCGCCCCCTCCGCACAGCCACCAAAGCCTGATTCCCTCCTTTCCTCCCCCTCGGGCAGCGCCCCCTCCCGGTCCTGGCCTGCCCGCCGCCCGCCCCCTCACCAGCGGCTGCATCTCCGAGTGCGCGGTGGGCACCTGGAACCGGTCGATCTCCTCCATCATGGTGCCGGCGGGCGAGCGGGCCCGGGGCCGGGCGCGGCCAGGGACGCCGACGGGACAGCGCGGGGCGGCGGCCCCAGTAGCCGGGTGGGTGGTGCAGACTAGGCCGCCCGGGACGAGTCGGGCGGGCAGGCGTCCGGGCAGATGGAGGGGTGGGCGAGGGGTGGGAGGTTCGCTGGCTGACTGAGACCAGCGTGGCTCCGTGGGCTTGCCTTAGTGCTACCGCGGCTGGGGCCCGGCCGAGCCGCAGGTCTTGCCTCGCCTCCTCCTCCGCCGCCGCCTCCTGTCAGCAGCTCAGCCACTGCGGTGACTCGGCAACTCCACTTCCGGGTCCGGGACACCGCCTGTACTTGCATTATTCATGAGGAGGTGGTGCCTGGGTGCTTTTAGCCCATAATGCAGAGTTTCTAATGCGCTCGGCCGCGGGTCGTTTTATTCCTGAGGCGGGTGCCAGGTGACCGGGGAATTCCCCGCGCGCCCAGCCCCGCCTCTCCCTCGAGCCGGGAGGGGGCGTCAGAGGCGCCTGCGCCTTGGCTAAAGGTTGGTTGCTGGGCAACCGCGTCTGGGAGGAGCCGATTCTATACTGCAAGGGCGCGGGGACCCACATCGACTGCTGTCCCCAAAGAACCTGGAATTAGAAATGAGAGAATCCGGTTTTCCTGCAGTAGTGATCGAGGACAAACGTTTCCTAATCCTCAGGCGAGAGAGTATTTTGTAGGTGTTCCAAGTGTTGAGGTGTTTCCTGCTTCTTCCAAGATGCCCCATAAACAGCCGCCTCGTAAGCAGGTACCACACACCCCGACTGCCCTCTCCCAATGACCTCTGAGGACACTGATCATCTTCTACTGATCCTTCATCTTCCTTTCTCTGTTGACCCTTAACCTCTCTCTCTGTGAACCCTTGCCTGTGTTTCCACTGACCTCTAACCCTGTCCTTTTCTCTCCCTCTAATCCTAGCTTCCTCTCACACACTGCCCCTGATCCACTATTTCCCACTTTCCTTTCACTTGTCCTCCCCTCGCCATTCCATTCCCTCTCTCCACTCACACCACAGACCCTCCTGACCAGTCCATCTGTCTTACCTCCCACCCCCACTCCCACTGATCCCTTCCTCATTGCCCTTATATTCTTGTCCCAAAGAAATTCTTTTTCCAGCCATTTTATGTATGTCCAGCGCTGGGCTAGGTGGGGACACAGGCCTTTGAGACCCCACAGAGGGAGTGCAAGAGAACTGTACAGGAGACACAGAACAGATTATGTACAGGAGTTTGGCTTAGATTTTCTGTGCTGGGAGATTTGTGAGGAGAGAGAGGTCAGGTAAAGAGGAAGAGAAGAGAGATCTTTTTCCCATTCTTGCCCCCCACCCCCACATCACACACTTGGACACACCAAACACTGGCCCCGACTATTTCTGGAGCCTCATATGTCTCTCTTTGCTGTGAGTCCCTGGACCACTCCTGTGACTCATTCAGCCATTTGAACATTGTGTCCTTGTTGCCACCTGGCCAGATGTCATCCCTTGGGTAACTTGGATACCCAAGAGTTAGCCCCTTCACCCACCAAGTACAGAGTTCTGCTTTCCTCCCCAGCATCACTCTGGAAGGTAAGGTAAGGACCAGCTTCTCAAGGAGCCCTCTGTGGTTGTCACTCAGTCCTTTAAGAATTCACTTTTTCCAAACCCTTTATGAATTATCACCTTGGGACTAATATGCGGTTTCTGACTCTGTGAAGCAGAACTTCTATTTATTTATTCTAAGTTTCCTTCACTCAGATCTAGGAATTTTGAGGTTTGGAAAGCAAATCTGTGTCCATGCTGTTTGTGACTTTACATATTTTGGTTTGGCTTTCTCCATATTAGTCTTTGCTAGTTTGCTTCTTTCACCTGTCCTTCCAGAGCAGGTGGACTCATCTCTCTTAGATCTCTGCAACTACGAGGAGGCTGCTGTTCCTGTATGGCCATGCCCTAGTTTTATGTCAGGGTAGCTGTGTTTTTAAGCTCATATACAGTGCTTGGGCCTACTGACTTAATTTACATAAAGTTTGTTTTAAATTCAGCATTACTAATGTCTGGCTCACATACAATGAAATGGACATTTTAGTTGTACATGTTGACAAGTTTTGACAAATTTATACACTTGTGAACCACCACTACAATTGAGATATAGGACACTTCCTCTACCCCCAAAGTTTTCTTGTGCCTCATCCCAGTCAGTTCTTCCCAACCCTGCAGGCCCAGGTAACCATTGTTTTCTGTCACTTGCAGATGAGATTTGTGTTTCCTGGCACTTAAAGTTTGAACAAGCTTGGGGTCAGTTTCTCCAGCCCATTAGGGGAGACGTTAGGGTCTAGTTTCACTGAGAGCAGAGAGCGGTGACAGCAGATAGGAAGCAGAAAAGCCTGGGTCAACTGACCATATACACATGGACGCATGGAAACAACCCTATGTTCACATATGTATACACTGGCTATGGACACATCAGTGCTGCCCCCTAGAGAGAAGAGTTGTTTTAATGTGTAATATTGGTGAGTGGGGTGTGAGAAAAGGTTGGGTTGTGCTAGGTTGTATTCTCCGCTCTCTTGTCTCAGTGAAGGTCAATCAGGGTCACTGGTGAGCTGGGTGTGCGACAGTCTAGAGAGGTTTGAGAAGTTGTGCCTTTCCTCTGGGAACTCTGGGGAACTCTGGGGTTCCCCTGAACCTAGCACAACTCCTCCCTCTAGGGGAGAGAGAACACAGGCATACAAAGATAAGAGAGGATGGGATCCCTGGATCTGGCAGGAAGAGAGACATACAGGTTGAAGCAGCCTAAGCTTCAGGGAGGAGGTATCTATGACTTGGCTGCCTGCACTGTAAAGGGAAGGTCAGGACTGAGCTTGTGACTCCCTCTTGTCCTCAGGATAAAGTCCCAAAAGTCCAACTTGTTTTGTATGGCCTGCAAAGCCTTGCAAGGTCTAGCTGTTGCCACAAAACCTACTTCAGATCCCACCATTGCTCTGTGAAAATTCCATAGTTGCAGCACACTGAACTGCCCTCACTTCCTGGAAAATGACATCCACACAGTCTTCTCTAGACCTTTGAAACTGATGTTTCCTCTACCTGCCTGGTATAATCATTTGTCTGTGTCCACCTTTTCCATGCTATTCTGCCTCAAATTTCTTCATTTTCCAGCCATACATCAGGTCTCAGCTTGGCTGTCATATTCTATAAGATATTAAGTCCCCTTTTTGGAGAGACAGGATAGGGTGATAGCCCCCCTAGACTATGTGATAGCATAGTGAGAATGTCTGTCTCATTCATCGTTGATTCCCCTGAACATAGCACAATGCCTGGAATATATTAAATTCTGAAAATGAAATGAATATGAGTTCTGAATGCCTGGAGTTATTCTTTAGAAATTTTGATCCAAGTGTGTTTAAATTTTTTTTAATGTTTATTTATTTTTGACAGAGAGAGAGACAGAGCATGAGTGGGGGAGGGGCAGAGAGAGAGGGAGACACAGAATCTGAAGCAAGCTCCAGGCTCTGAGCTGTCAGCACAGAGCACGATGCAGGGCTCGAACCCACGAACCATGAGATTATGACCTGAGCCCAAGTCGGATGCTCAACCGACTGAGCCACCCAGGCGCCCCCTTTGAGTGTGTTTAAAGTATAGGAGGGCACCTGGTGGGATGAGCACTTGGTGTTGTATGGAAACAAATTTGACAATAAATTTCATATTTAAAAAAAAATAGTATAGGAAGGGGAACACCTGAGATGAAGAGACTAGTGGGGAGTGATATCAAGAAAATGTCACTACAGAAGCATGTTTTTCTGGGTTCATGTTTATATCTGCTTTGGCAGTAGAGCTGTGAATGATTCAAAATTGAATCATATGTACCCATGCCTTAAGATCTGGGTATTAGAGATTTAAGAGGTCATCAATTCTGATGCCATAGTCATTCTCATTCAACAATTATTTATTGATCACCTACTATATGCCAGGTACTGTTCTAGGCACTGGTGATACAGAAACAAACAAAACAAACAAAAATCCCTGCTCTCGTGGATCTTATCTTTTAGTTGGAGGTAAATTGTCAATAAACAAATAAGTAAAATATACAGCTTATCAGATGATAATAGGTGTCAAGGATTAAAATAAAGCAGGGAAATGGAGTAGGAAGTTCAGGGAACCAGAAGATTATGATTTAAACATAGCAGTCACAGAAGGCCTCACAAAGGTGGCATTCGAGAAGGATCCAGAAGAAATGAACAAGTTAGCCTCCAGACTGAGGGCATAGCAAGAGTAAAGTTCCTGGTGTGGAAGCTTGCTATAAATGTTCTAGATCAGCAAGGTAGGAGGAAGGGGGGCAGTGGCAGGAGATAAGATCAGAGAGGTGTATCCCTCTACTCTATAAGGTTAATCAAATAACCCATGGCATATTAAATTGGTTGTGATAGAGCTCCATGAATCATAATTTGTAATTAAAATGCATGAATGCCAGGCACCATAAACCATGACCAGCCCAAAACATCACTGGTAATGCCCCAATAACAAAGTGTCCTTCCCCAAAAATTTGAGAATTCCAACTGGTTGCAATGTGTATATGTGCAGGAGGAGCTTTGCAACGTTGCCAAACATTGCCTGGCAGCCAGACTTCTTAGTAGAGAACTGAATTAGAGTCTTCTGTGAACTCCAGTTAAAAGCTAATTTTAGTTTATGACTAACAAATTTTAGTACTTCTTTATAACTCAGTTAGTTACCATAAAAAAAAAATCAGTCTGGAACTTTGCATCATTTGCCTGTGAGAGCCAAAGAAAGGACTTGCATTTGCATTTTTGGATCATCTTATGGTCTCTCCAGAGGCCCCTGAGGGACAGTACTTTTAGAACTGATGATCTTGATGAGAGGTGACTAGGGTAGGGGAGAATGGGCAAGAATGCATACAAGGCCAAAAAAGAATATTAGATGATTCAGAAATTTTGACCTGGTGACTGAGCCTGGGATCCATAGAAGAAAGGACAAGAGGA